CCCCCCCCCCCCCCCCCCCCCCCCCCCTTCTCTTCTTTTCCTTTACTCAGTTATATGTTTTTTCTTCGGTATGTTTGATTCATGCACTCTTAAGTTAAAGACAGTGAACAAGATGTATTTTGTCGTACCATCATATTCTAGGAGACGCCTCTTTCAAATGATCAATGGCCTCCCTACCATATTTGAAGTTGTGACTGGATCTGTCAAGAAGCAAACAAAAGAGAAAACACCCAACAGTAGCAAGAGCAACAAGTCAAATTCCAAGGTTAACTCTGCGCCCTTATTCCCCATCCTATTATACTTTTCTCATCAACAATCAAAATTGATATTGTTACTTTTGTATTGTTAGCCATCACGTCAGTCGGAGATAAAGACCTCAAAAATGGCTCCTCCAAAAGAGGACGACGATAGTGAAGGAGGAGAGGAAGAAGAGGAAGATGAGGATGAGCATGGAAACACTCTATGTGGTGCTTGCGGGGATAATTACGCGAATGACGAATTCTGGATATGTTGTGATATTTGCGAGAGATGGTTCCACGGGAAATGTGTGCGAATTACTCCTGCTAGGGCTGAACACATCAAGCAGTACAAATGCCCAGCATGCAGTAACAAGAGAGCAAGAGCTTGAACTTTTGCAAAGTTGACGGTGGTTTTAGATATCAAACGGTGATTAGATGGTCATAGGTTATTTCGGATGCAAGAAGCTAAATTGATCTTCAAGCTTTCAGTCAAAATTCAGGTTTTAGACATTGTTCTGTTGTTGTGCATGTGTTCTTGGTTATTTGTTTCCTTTGTAGTACTAACAATCCAACTGTATTGGTAATGTTGATTTGAAGTCTGAATATTGTCAGCATTTCTAATAGATTGCATCGTGTTGTTGACTGTTACTAGTTGGGTTTGAAATTTACTCGAACTAACATAAGTTCCTCGTTTCTGCCCTCTAACATGTGATGCGGTTTGGTACTGTTATGCCAATATTTTGTTGTTGCTAATAGAAACCGAATTTGCTTGTGCTATTTATATGCGAAAATTCAGGCACTTGTGTGTTCTTATTTTGTGATTATACTTTGATAGCTGATCTTGTTTTCGATGCTTGTCTGGTTTCTCCTAAGAATTAAAAAGGAGAATTCTCACCTGTTGAGTTATAGTAAGCACTTTCATTATGTTCTCCTTGATTCATTCTGCATTTATTATTTCATTTATGAACTGCATTGTTTGTTCCTTAAATAAATCAATGCAATCTACTGCATACTGGAGGTATTACGTTTTTGCTGCTGTGTATGGACTTCTGGGATGAGTACTGTTGAAAAAAGAGACCTAATCATCTGTCTTTGTTGAAAAAATGTGGCTGTAAATTTTCCCTGATTATATCCTAAGTTGTAAACTAATATGGAAAATCACTACTAGGGCTTGTTTATCTTGCTTGAGATTTTCAAATTTGAGTTATATTTAAGTTTACAGTTCGATAGGTACATTACAGTGAGACACTGAGGAACATCATGAGAGGGAGGAGGATCTTTTTTTTTTTTTTTAAAGTTTCAGTCCTAGAAAGTTTGATGTTAGATAAATGAAGTTCATTAAAGTACAAACTTGGAGTTGAATCTAACTCAGTGTTTTGGGGTTAAACATCTCCATTGTAGAAAATTGCAGGGAAAGAAATTTAACTTAACAACACAACTTGAGCTATGTTTTTAACTAAAAGAAAACTTCAAAATTTGAAGAAATTATGAAATGATAACATCTACACAAGAGATTGAATATCAATGTGCTCTTCTTGGGATTTGACCTATCGCATTTAATTAAACCATATACATTATATACAGTAGGATCATACTGTCGAGCAATTTCTTGGTTTCAAGCATCAATTTCATCACAGTTGGAGAATAGAAGCTAATGTGAAGTGCATGAAATATCACACACAACTTAAAGAATAATTATTTCATTACAAAAAACATCTTCATGCAATATAATACATTTCCTCACTAACATACGCTACCTGAAAACACAAACAAAAAAAACAAGCAAAATAGCTCATTAGACCTCTATGGCCACAACAGCTCCATAGATTTAAGTGTCTTCTTCGAACTCTCACCTTCGCCTGCGATCAGATCATCGAAGGAGAAGCTAGACCTCTGTGAATCATCTTCATCGTCGAACTCCACCCAAACTGTACTTATCTTCGTCTCCAATCCTTGAGAAAAGAGATTCGTCGAAGATTCATAACTTATTTGAGCTTCAGTCTCTTTCTTCTTACTTTCTCTCTCTTTACTTGTTGCTATACCCAACTCCTTAGTTTCAAGCTCCTCCATTGATGAAATCTCATCGGGTTTAACAATTCGAACCGAAGGGTAATCCAAGCTTTTGCTCACAACACGTTTCTTGCAACTCTCATAGAACTGATAGAGGGTCGAGGTCTGGTCACAAGCCTTTTTAAGGATATCAAGAGCTAACGCCCTTGTGTGCTTCTTGAGATCAAGAAAAGAACTGAATACAACCTCAAGGCCCTCACAAAAACTTTCATAAACTCGAAAACTCTCCCTTAAAACCACATTCATTACCGCTTGCACGGCGTGGCTTGATCTCGATTTGATCGCTGGCAAACAGTTTACAATCCTATGAAGAAGTTCTTGGCACTTTGACAGTTTAGATAAGACTGACTCTATTGCTTTCTCTTCATAAGAAGAAACTGTAGAGCATGATAACGGCCTAATAGGCTCTAGCTTCCCCGCTTGGTTTATTAGCCACCCCATCCTCTCTTCAAGAAACCGCGAATAGCTCAGCGTAAATCTGGAGAAAGGATCAAGGTTGCTCGATGGCCATCTTAGCTCAACCCTCAGGTCACCCGATGACCAAAGATTGCGAAGGTCCTGCTCGAAGTATCGATCACCCCCACGAAGGAGGCGATGCAGGAGCAAGAGGGTCTTGAGAGCTACCAACGGGTCTCTGTTCGACTCGAGCCTGGTAGAAATTCTTCTTGCAAGATAAGTGATGGAACCTGGCGCGTTGGAGATCAGGAAGAGGATTTCACTGGTGTACTTGTCATCGAGGGGTGAATCTGACGAGTCTGTGGATCGGAGGACGGCGGTCTCTATGCTAGAGAGGATGTTTCGGCTTGTGATTGAAGCTCTACCAATTGCCACTTGGTCCTTGATTGAACCTAGAGTTTCCATGACCTTGCTCTTCACCTTCATCACTATGAATCTTTAGGGTGGGAAGAAGGTGCATGACATTTATACATAGGGGTTTATAATGAATGTAGACTAGTTTGGATAGTCTATTGATGCATGTTCCTCTCTTGACTTTATTATGGAGAGAGAACAAATTAAAATGAGTTATACTCGTCGTGTGGGAAAATAACATTCCCTCCTTGTGATATGAAATCTATTGTTTGCATTGGTGGTGTAGAAAAAAGCTTCCACTTTGGGATATTTGTAAATGGATTTTAGAGGTCAACCCTTTTGAGAAAATGGTGGGAGGAATCACATCCTCTAGGAATAGGATTCCCATGCATCAAAGCTAAGCCTCATTGGCAACCTCTCAATAGCTTTGACTCATAGGTCTACTTTCTTTCTTTTTTTTTTTTTTTGCTTTTTTTTTCTTTCTTTTCTCTTCTTGTCTGATTCCACATATCAAATCATCATGTAGCTTGTGGGGAATTAGGGAGAACAAAGTTGGTATTGTTTACTCTCCCCCTTTTGTGTA